CAGTGTAGTGCCGTGTCGTGTCCTGTTCGTGTTGCGCTGTTCCGTACCGCTCCGCTTCACGATTCAGCTCTGCTTAATGAAGTTGTCGGTTCAGGACGTTTACAGGTGGGGCCTACTTGCGTGTGGTCCATTCACAACGACTGCCGCAGAACTGGTTAGGAGTGCTTTACATCTTTACTTTTACTTCTCGCGCTGTTTCGAAGCAAGCAGAACCTCTTCGGGGTCTGTGCTTGAACGGGACCGCCACCGACACCGACGCCGATTCAACGTGTTTCTTTTAGATTCATTAATCTAGACGCGGTCGTCGCGTACTATCGTGCGGTTACTGTTACTGTCGGCATTTTTTCTCGCAGGCAAACGCAGCCGAGTAACGCGAAAGCGTTCCTTTGGGACCGTCGTAAATCGTCTCGAGCAGAGGACATTCAAGCGTACAAGTGTAGGAATGTTACGAGTACTGCCCGTACAAGTGAATTCAACGATACACACGCACGATGGTGTATCGAGTACATATACACGAGTAGTTCTCGGGGAAACGCCGCGTTCGCGTAAATTCGATTAAATAGGATTGCTAGCTATCCGTGTTCCGACCACCGTGAAACGATAGAAACGATAGAAACGATAGAAACGATAGAAACGATAGAAACGATAGAAACGATAGAAACGATAGAAACGATAGTCTCTTTTGTCTTTGCCACAGCTAAATCGTCGCGACAGCTTCGTTTCCTCGATCGAATCGAGTCGAGTTTAATTCGAAAGCAACTGGTGCACGCGAATAATCGTCGATGCGAACGAATCGATGTCGCTTCCTTTCTCGTCGCGACGATATCGAAGGAAATTCAATCCTGGACCGACTCGGTTCGTCTCCATTCTCTTTCGACTGGAACCTCCGGAAATCGGGCTGAACTTTGCGTGTATGACGATGGTTTTCCTATTTTTCAGACTATGCACCGACAACAGGGGCTTCGATCGGCGTCGTCGTCTCCTTCGTCGTTGTCTTTGCTACTTTCAACGTCTCGGTCGTCCGTCTCGAGCGTACTGCTATCACCGGCTGCGCCGACGTCGATGTCGACGTCGGCCCTGACACCGACGCCGAGCCCGATACCGACGACATCCATTACCACCCCGACGTCATCCATCGTTTTGCCTGCTTCGTCGAGCTGGTCGACTTCGAAATTGTCACCGTATGTCTGGAACGTCGAGCAGACGGCTTGCTCGAGCTTGTCTTTGCTATCGAGCGACTCTTCGATCGTGTCGTCGTCCACGATATCGGTACCGATACCTTGTCCGAGGCTGGTCTCTATTCTGGCTTGGTCAATGACACTGTTGCTCGTCACGTCGTGTATCGGTTTAACGGACGCTGGGATCTTAAACGGGCATCCCTTAGGTAAAAGGTCCTTTATCGATATCCAATGCAAAGGTATATACGACAAGAGCATCTTCGCCCGGCTGGATCGTATTTGCGAGGACTGCTACAACTTGTTTCGCGAGCCTCAGCTACATCAATTGTGCAGGTAACCTCGTTTCTATCCACTTCTAAATACTTGTTTTCGCCGTTTGCTTGTCGTTTGCTGCTTTTTTGCTTTTCGCATGTTATACGGCTTTTCGATTTTTATTCTCAGCTTCCTTTCGACTTTTTACCTGTAAACAGTTTCGAATCTCTTTTGGAATGTTGCTCTCTAGTTGAACGTTTCACTGTTACTTCTTGGATTCGTTCGAACGTTCGAAACGCGAGAACCGCAAAGATTATTTCGTCGAATTCACTGAGAATCTTCGCGATCGGCCCACTGAAACGTTCAACAATTTCAAACGAATCGAATAACGATTTCCAGCAGATTTTCAATCATGTTAAACGAGACGGCATTTCTATCGTTGACTTTCAGCGAACAGATCTCTCGGATCTGGCAGATCCATGGTACGCTTGCCTTTATCATTGGTATCATTTGTGTTTTCACGTTTTTCCAGGAAAAACTGCTTCACCTCGGAGTACTTCAAAGGATGCTTAGACGTGCTATTGCTGCAGGATGAAGTAGAGAAAATCCAAACGTGGATCAAGCAACTTCACGGAGCAGAACCCGGGGTTTAGGTAGCTTCTTTTTTTATGTTTATGATTTCTTTCTGCTCGTTTGTCCTTCCTTTTCGTTTTCGTTTTCGTTTTCGTTTTCGTTTTCGTCTTTTTTTCCACTAATCATTTTCTCGTCCATTGTCCACACGTGACGATTCATCACCGTTCAAAAGCAGTCCCCATTTCCTCCCAAAATGAAAATCACCCAAATTCGTCGTGTTCCTCTCCCTTTCCAGTGCACGCGTACCCGCTTGTCCTTATTCTTTTCCATTACTTTTCTACAGATTTCAGTTAATACTCGTTGCTTTCTCGTTTCCCATTTTCCCAGACTCCGAGTTGCCCAGTTTTCTGATTTCCTAGTCTTTCCGATTCTTTCGGTTGTCTTCTTCTCCTTGAATCTGCCGTTTCTTCTTTCCTGTTATCTATTCAGTTTACGTACGTTTCGGTTGCTTGTCGTCGATCGACCATCTTCGTCGACGCGTTTTCGTACATATTGTACAATCGGTTTCCAGTACAAGTAATACCTAGCACATGTATAGTTGATTCTTCTCGACGTCCTTTCAACAGTTTCCAAACGAACCAATGTACTTGACGCGACGACACGTGTCGCGCGACACGCGACACGCGACACGCGACACGTGACACGTTACACGTGAAATTCGCCGAACCTGGGCATACGTTTAGGTAATTGTTGGTCGTTCACTTTATTCCGGAATAATAGGCAATGGCTGCGTTGCGTGAGTCCAAGTGCGAGTCTACTTGTCCACGCGTCGTTTGGCTCGCACGAAACATTTTGATTATGCAACAGGGAGGATACAGTCCGTAACAAATCAGTGCACGAATTACGACTATTTCGATCTGCCAAACATTCGAAAGGGATTCCTTTTCGAATCCTTGTTTCAGTCTTATCGCGGATCAGGTAGATTCCACGCAGTATCGACAACACATTTTCATTGGATCCGTGACATTCTCGATAAGTACTTTTCCCGATAATACGAACTCGTGTGCGTTTCGATGTTTTTGTTATCGTTTTTTCGCACCGTTTCAACAGGATGCTCAATTTTTTGCAATTTTACGTCAACATTTTTCAGAGGAGTACAGGAAACGAGATATCGTCGACGATACACCGAGTACGAAAACGTTGATCCATCTTTTCAGAGTTTTTACGATTTTTACAATTTTTGCAGTTTTTGCAGTTTTTGCAGTTTTTGCAGTTTTTGCAGTTTTTGCAGTTTTTGCAGTTTTTGCAGTTTTTGCAGTTTCTACAGTTATCATGATTTTCACTGATTCTGCAGTTTTTACAGTTTTTACAGTGATCGAGTATTTTTACAGGTTTTTAGCGGAGATGACGTACACGCGATAGCATAGAATTTTTTACGATACTATTCTTTTTACAAGAGATGATTGACAGAATCGGTAGTCGAATCCGATTTTCCGTTCAATCACGATTGGATTGCACGGTAATTCGTAATTCCGATTCATGAATGGATTCGTTTGTTCGGTTTCCCATCAAGTATATGTGCGTGTGAATTTGCAAAGTTTGAAGAAACCGCTAATATTCGCGACACCACAGATGGATGAAAAAGATAGATACGCGCGTATAGATTCGGTATAGCTTGGAGTTGAATGGATCTTTCGAGCGGGCGACAAAACGCGAAACAACTGAAACGAGATTCGACGAATGAGACAAACGAATCCTGAGTAGTTTATCGAGAAACTGGTTCGAGTGTAACACTGATTCGAAATACCGATGACACAGCCAAAGCCTAGGGAAACGAGAAAAGTAGACTTGTCTAACCGATTGCTCGGCGCATTGCTGCGTGCGCCTTTCTTTCTATTTCTAGGCAAACTTGCTTCGGTACACAATACTTTACAAGCTGCGTTCAAGCGTTGCTGCTCGAGGACGAGAAGGAAAAGTTCCAGGAGATGGCCGATTACCTAGGGCGGAAGAAATAAGAAGAACAGGATCACGGACAGACGACTCGTTCACGCTCACGTTCACGTTCACGTTCACGTTCATATTCACGATATCCGCAATGAACAATTCTCCTGTTAACGATCGATACCACTGGGAGGAACGAAAACCGAGCGTCACCCGGAGGCAATCGTAACGATTACACCCGTGGTGCATGAGAAATCCCGACATCCGTTAGTATTACATTCTTCGTGACTTCCGAAAGATGGAAAACACTCCTGAACTCACTGAGGATTCGCAGCACGTTATACAACAGTCATACCTCCTCCTCTTTTTTGCAAACCGATGAAACCTGAAGCGCCGACGGCGGTGCTGGCAACGCGTGCATCTGTTCGATTAAACGATTCCATTCGACGCGCGAACATGGTTGAAAACAAACAGTTGAAAACAATTGAAAACAATCGAAAACAATCGAAAACAATTGAAAACAATCGAAAACAATCGAAAACAATGAAAACAGGCATACCAGACGGGAGAAGAGAACAATTCGACAGATGCGGTTGGACCAGTGTGTTGACCAGAAGCAAACACGAATCATGGTCCGTTACAACAGTTGCCATTATTGTACGCGTTGTCACCACCGCTCTCGCCGTCTTCGTTCTTACGAAAGGTTGTATATCAAACTAGGAAAGCGAAACGGTGTGAGCGAATCATGCCTGCATGCGCGTGCGTGCGTGCGATTAATCCATACGAATCTAGTCGACAGAATATTTGCGCTCTCGTATTGCGCCATGTTTTTACCCAATTAATTATTAATTATTTATGTTGAGCATTGCCGTACGTTATTACGGCGATTATTATTTTTTATTTTATTGATATCGATATTAATTTTTAGCAGAAATCAATCGAGTACGTGTTACTTATGCAGCGTGTGCTTCCGCGAAGTAGATGGATAGAGTCTAGCCTCGTTCATCGAAATTCCGATGAGAAAATTTTGCTCGATCAAATGATGTGTAACAGGTACACGAACAGAGAAATAATACTCGTGCAATGCATGATTTCTAGTTGCTGTCGTAAAGCTCATTCTCCTGCCAGTCGTTGAATCTTTTTCACGATTGGTACTGAAAAAAGGTACTGAATTGAAATTTCGGAATATCTGAGAAACCGTAACCGTAATCGTAACCGTAACCGTAACCGTAACCCTAACCCTAACTCTAACAACCCTAACCCTAGCCCCAACCGTAACCGTAACCGTAACCGTAACCGTAACGCGCGCCGGTAACGTCTATTGCAAAAGTTCTTATTCGTTTCCTGTTAACGTAAATTTCTTAGATACTTTTTCACTCGTTCCAACCATTGTTGCAACTGAAATGTCAATTTTAGAAATGCTTGAATCGTCGTTGTCGCCACCGAGTACATTGCAACTGCTGCTCCCGTGTACTATTTCCACTGTTCTTCTACCAATATTTTCGCTACCATTGCTATCAGATTTGAACTACAACAAGGACCGTTACCACTTTTGTTTCATTTGTAAATACCGCTAACATGTTTAATATCATTATTGCTATTGCCACTATTACCACTAGCACTACCATTACCATTACCATTAGCATTAGCATTACCATTACCATTACCATTACCATTACCAATACCATTACCATTACCATTACCATTACCATCATTAAAATTATTATTAATATTATTATTATTATTATTATTATTATTATTATTATTAATTATGAAATTATGAACGATTAATTATTGATTATTGGTTATTGATTATTGATTATTAATTATTAGTTACTATATTGTCAGGTTATAGTATACTTATTGTTATTATGATTGGTATGGCAATGCTGCGAAAACTCCCAGTCCACAAGTCGGAAGTTTTCGAAAGAACGAAACGCGAATAAAAGCTTTACGACGCTGTCAAGTGGTGAACGGAGTTGTCCGTACGTAGTAGATACATAGTATTTATTTATTTGTTCACGTTCTGAAATTCGGAAGAAAACGATCGTAAAGCGGTCAGAAAACTTACATGTATGTCAATGTTCTTCCAATATGCTTGTCGAGTAGGAAACTGTGCGAGCAGAATTCCTCGTTTCCGCGTATATTTACGCAACAATAGATGATCTCTGATTTTTACTCTTGTATAGGATTCGTTGGCACGCTAACGAAACTCCTTCGATGTTATCGAATATTATTGTATTTAACGATTTAACGCTGCGACGCATTCCCCTTCCAGGGAATAACGAACCATTCCAAGATCAGTATTCAAGCCATTCCGACTTTGTTGCCGTTCCGAAATCTTTACCGAAACGCGTATTTATTTCGTTTCTCTTGCGCCGACATTTCGTTGCTTTTGTTAATTACCTTTAGTGGCACTCGAACCATTCGGAACCCCAGCCGCACCACATTTTCGATACGCTCTCGCGTGAACAAATGGGAACACGAAAAACACGGAATAACGAACATTAGATCAAAAGGAATATTAAACTTGCCGTTTCAACTGGTGAGCCTGCGTGTTCAGTTTGCTCTGAAAATCGTCTGAAAATCGTCTGAAAATCGTCTGAAAATCCCCTCACAATTGTCACGGACTCTCTGGAATGGAGAAACTTTTTCTGATTCGTTACCTCTTCTAGAGCTAAGCGCAAGTAGAAACGAAAAAAGCGGCTAAGGATGAGTATTCTATTCTATCCTATTCTATCCTATCCTATCCTATCCTATTCTATTCTATTCTATTCTATTCTATTCTACTCTACTCTATTCTATTCTATTCTATTCTATTCTATTCTATTCTATTCTATTCTATTCTATTCTATTCTATTCTATTCTATTCTATTCTATTCTATTCTATTCTATTCTATTCTATTCTATTCTATTCTATTCTATTCTATTCTATTCTATTCTATTCTGTTCTATTACTTTCTATTACTTTCTATTCCTTTCTATTCTATTCTATTCTATTCGATTCGATTCTATTCGATTCGATTCTTGTAAAATTTTATATGTAATGTATATTACATTATGCCGCATGTAATATATAATATGTATGTATATATATATATGTATATGCACATACAAATATATGTATATACATATATACATATATATAAATATATAAATAATATAAATAAAAATATATGTTACAATTAGCAAACGCGTGGTTGTCACACGTATAAAGAGATGTACGCGTCAGTGTACATGCGTGCGCACGCCTTCAACTAAACGCACGCACGTATGTGTGCACGTCTATACATAAAGACACTTGTGTGTACGTAAACATGCGTACATCCGCTTCATGTACCTTTAAGCGATGTGTACGCACCGTGTGTGTACGCAAACAATTACCGATACAGCTACTCCACAGTCTATTCTTGTTGCGCGTGAATAAACAAGTGATTCAAACAAATCAGCGTCTCGTTTAAACTCAGTTTCCGCCCGAATACGACTTCTCTTTGAAAAACCTCGCATTCCGACCCGTTCTCGCGACTAAACGACTCCGTTGGATTAAGCCGTAGCGTACGCGTGTCGAAGGCGAACAAAATCCCGAATTGTGTCTTTGATACGCACGATACGCTACGCGTGATCCAACGGTAAATAATTCTGTCTAAATGTATAGGCGCGTTCAACGACACTTTTCCTAAGTACTGTTATATCGTGTGTACTGGAATGGCTTACCTTGTCGAATAAGCAGAGTCATTCAACTACGCATATTTGCGTGTGCTCGCGTCACTTTGCCGCTTATCTGCTGATTTATTTCGCGTGCTAAATTTCACTCCATTCTCTATCTCAAATTTGTTCTCGCGAGCTCCTTCTTCTCTCTCCCTCTCCGTCTTCCCGCGTGCCTCTCTACCTTCTACCCGTCTACCCACCCAAGTACCCGTTTGCCTAATTTCTCGATCGATCGAACGATCGACAAACAAATCGATCGATCGATCGGTCAATCAGTCTTGGGAAGAATCGAGACGACGCGTGTCGGAGAAAATCCGAGAAATATTCCGAGAGATTAAAGTCCAGAGAGCGCACCGTTTCGAATGGAAACGTGTCGCCGGTAAGAAAACGGTTAGCTTTACGTCACGCGACCCGACCATTGTAATCCGTAATAGAACGAACCGCCTTTCGACGCGAGTCGCGAGTTTACGCTTGTCTACGAGATCGACTCGAATCGATGACGCGATGTACCCCGGAATAGATCACCGGTTAACGGTACGCAGCGACTGTTTTCCACCGGAAGCTTCAAGATCGTGCCAAACGATGCTGCAGATTTTTGGGAGAACGGTCAGAAATGGATGGAATCACGATCGGTGAACATCAAATTGAAAGCACGTAACTGCAAAATAGTGTTCCGTTATTCTTCATACATGTCAATGTATACATATAGTACATATACTCGCACACATATACGGCGTAAGCCAAATATATTACGAACGAAATGTGTTAAACTTATTAGAAGGGAAAAGAAAAGGAAAAGGAAAAGAAAGAGGAAAATGGAAAAAGGAGAAAGGAGAAAGGAAAAAGGAAAAAGGAAAGGGAAAAGACACTGTGCATAGTGAATCAGTGATCGTAAAAACATTCCAAACGTAATTCTTAATTACAACGACCAGATTTCCCTTCTTAAAATTTGTACTGTCACATTAACTTTACAACTTTCTAACTTTAGCGCTACTCAGCTTTGGATAATATTTGGAACGCAGTGTACCTCCGTGTAAGTTGTGTGGTAGCGTGATTCGTTCGTATCTATCTTGTTTCGGAACAGAAACACGCAAATCAAGTTTCCTTGTATCGTACCTAAATAGTAGTTACATGTCTAAGAACGCGGTTATCATGTTTGTGCTTTCTTACGTATAAAATTGGAGAAAGGAGCGCGCGAATAGGCACAGAAAAGGACCAGAAAAGGTGTGCTGCGTTTCGTGTCGAGTAATTCGTTATTACTGCCGACATCGGATGCTCGACACTAGACACCGTTGATTCGTACGCTATCGGTGATAACGGTAACTCGTGTTCGTCTTGCTCGTTTTCGCGTGAACCGGACCGGTTCGACGATTAGTCTCGCGCGCGACTATGCCCCGTCAGTCGTGTTTCGTCAATGATGGACACATTTATTATTCAAGGCACGTATTCGAACGCTGCGAGTTGTATCGACCGTAAGTAAAGTCGTGCTCGCATCACGGTTCGCTCGGTTGCGTCAGAAATGTCGATGACGAAGCAGCCTACTCTCCTAATTTCGATCTAGTCGGTGATATTCATACTGGTCTTCCATGAACGCGAAATCTGTACAGGCACGTATAATCGAGCTGTCCATGATTGCTGTTCACTCTTAATTCGACAAACTCGTACGGAGTCTCGATCGCCGTGTTCTACGAATCGAAACAACAATTATACATCTCGTCGAGATTGAAAAGGTAGAGGCAAACGCGGGGGTAGCTTACTTGAACGGGAAAGTATTGTAAATTGTCGTCCGTTGCTGCGAACTCGTAATCTCCAAACATCACTGGAACGGGGTCGTTTTCGTTGACGAAACCCTGTGGGAGTGATCGGATCGACTAGTTGAGATATACGGCTTTGTCGAGGAGAAACGATTCGCTTACCCAAACGTTGAATTTCTTAGGAGCACTCCTCATCTCTCCGTTGGGTAGGATCGACTTGGGTACGTGTTCGACTGTGAATCCAGTAACGTAAATCGAACTACGCAGTTTAATCAACAGGTATCCCGGGAATCCTTGAAACGCCCAGCAAACGCCTGGTTGTATCGGGTTTCCTTGTATAACCGTCCGAGGATTGTTATTCTCTTGATAAACCATGAATGCCAGAAATTTCACAGCTCTCGTTTTCCTATCGTACTTTTGCGTGCAACGTATGCTGATGATCTGGCCACCTACGAACAACGAAGGAGCAACGCGTTATCGCTCGACCCGACAGCAATTAGCTCAGCCACGCACCTGCCGATTCCAGAGCGTAGTCTACGCGACCCGTTTTGTCCGCGTCGTAGGTCCTCAACGCATCCTTGACTATTTCACGAACGCGCTCGTCACTCGCGACGGACGATCCCTCTCTTGCTATAAATACATAGATTTCTCTCGTACCAGAATATATCGCTTAGTTTCGCATAGTTGCGTTTCGTCTATAAAGCTCCCAGAAAAACCAACTTACCCGTATCCGAATTGTACCCGTCAGCCGTAACTGCCGCCGCGTCTCGGATTGCTTTCGTCGAATCTTTCTTCGATATCGGCACATGAAAATATTCGGCTAGGATCGTTTCGACGCGTTTCTCCAGATTATCCTCACCGACGAGATTCGCACGGGTATTGCAGCACAACTTTACCTCCGAATAGAGCTCCTTTAACGCGTTCAACTGCAGTTTCATTGCTTCGATTTCCTGCGCGTACGCGTCGACTAGGCCGCGATCTTCTATGGTTTTCTGCAGCGACAGCATCTTATTCTACGAAAAACATCATCCATGCCTTACGATTCCCTTGGTCTGTGATCGATCAGTGCACTTACATGAAATTTCGACCAAACGAAATCATCGTCCTTCAGTTTCTCCAGCGTTCCGTTCACGTTCAAAAGAAGACTCTGCAACGACGCGTGTTCAACGTTTAGTCGTCTTTAGACACTTGGATGGAGCGGAAATGCTTAACGGGCAACGGAATCTTACCGCTTGTTCGATAGTTTGATCCTCCAGTTTGCTGATTCTAGCGTGTAACTTTTCGGCCAACGTCTTGAAGTGTTTCGCTTCCGCGGAAGCTTCTCCGTTGGGAAAGGATCGTTCGTCCATCAGAAATAATTGCGGCAGAGACCAGTGACGGTCTCGGGATTGTTCGACGATCGCGTGATCGGTCCATTGAAACGACGTTGAAAAGTATGGTAAACACCAGCTACCTGAAAAATGCAAATATAATCTCGATTAAAGTTTGTCGGTGTCCGAATACGGTACAGCGTACAGCTATCGAGAGAAGGATAGACGAAGGGGACTCACCGTTCCGATGACATCGAGATACCGATCGTGTCCACATTCCCCGTGAAGCGCGAATACTCCAATTTTATATCGCCAGTCAAGCAATCCTACTCCCTCTATCCTTCTCCCGTCTTTTAACTTATCCATTTGTCGGACTCGATCGACTACGATCGATCTTAGGTCGCCTAAATCTATTCCGTATTTGAATCAAAGTACTTTTACGGACGCGTTCAAAGAAGGAGGACCGGTAGCACCGCCGATAGCACCGGTAGCGACGCGTGCAGGGACATTAGTTTCGAGGTACCGCGTACAGTTGCTACACAGCCGTTCAGATCCGAAATCAATACCAATACCACTTGTGTATGCACATACTCGCGTTTAGATTCACGTTGCTCGCCCATGTACATGTATTTATAATTCTACGTTAGTAAATGCTGCCACCGCGTGTCGACGTGTACGAATAAACGAAAAGAAACGTAACGGTTAGCGAGCGTATCGGAAAGCATTACGCTCGAGAATATATCCACCATGATGCATAGTACAAGTTTGCAAATTATAAACAGACCGACAAAGAAACCGTTCCATTGCATAATGATAATAATTAAAAAACGGAAAGGAGTTAATGATGATAATTGATAATTAGTAACGGTAATTAATAATAATAATATCATATTCGTCAAGAACTTAAGAAGTTAAGAAGAAATCTCACGGGAAAAGAATTCATCGACCCGAGCAAAATCACCAGATTAAATTCCAACCAATGTTCGGCGTCTCGTGTAAAGACACGTTCACACTGGGTAGAAAATAGGCTGGGAAATGTTTTAGCTTTTTCATGTATTCGGTAACGAACGAATCGTTTTCGACACGCGCTCTATTCACGAAATCGCTAAAGATGCGATAGCTCGTCTCGGTGATATCATAGGGAATATTGTGCAGCATATCCAGACTGATAACGTTCTGTTTTTTCACGATGTAAACTCCTGAAACAAAAAGAAAAAGAAAAAGAAGCGGCAGAATAGCTGATATTTCGTTCTGTTCGTTCTGTTCGATCCGTTTAATCTGTTCAGGGACGCCACGACGATAGATCGAGAGATGTTGCCGGTGATATTCAAGGAAAGAATGTTGATGCGAACACACGAATATTTTTCTCGGCGAACCTGTTCAAATCATGCGTGAGATTCATCGAAATTTACCCGTTAGAAAAAGCAACGGCAGTAAGGCGATCCAAAGGACTTTAGGACTTCTTTGCTGCATCCATTTTCGAACGCTCGAAACTCTGCTCAACAGCCACGAATCGAAGAAGAATACTTTAACCATAAACATATAAACATACTGCAAGCAACAGTCAATATACTGCCATACTTTGTACCATCTGGATTCTGCAATTGAAAGAAATTCACGATTATATCGATCGATTGCTCTTTTCCGATTACATCGGGCCAAACAGGTTCAGGCATTCGCTGGAATTACTAATTTAACAATACCGTGTTTCGAATAATCGTAACGACCGCGATAGTCCCTTCTTCTGACTGTTTTCAGCTTTAAAAATTCAAACAGGCTGTTAAACCACGAAACAATGATCGACGTGAAATTTCCGAAACGTTGCGACAGTTTTCCTTTCTCGCTTCTGCTGGACATTGATACCGCACAGTCCAATTCTGTATCAGAGTCAACAGAGGGTGTGGTATCCCACTTCCGGAATGCATGTCCAACGTGTTCCGCTAGCGAATCGGAACGCAGAAATTGTCTGAGACAAATCGAAAGAAAAAATGTATTTCTGTCTTGCTCTTTTCTATACTATGTAAGCAGATTTAAGCAGATTTAAGCAGATTTAAGCAGACAAACCTTGATCGAGAATTCGTCGACCCCCTAGGAACGGTATAAGACATTTCTTTCTGAGAACGATGTCGTTCCACGTGCGTCTTTGTATACCTAATCTTCGATTCTCCGTAAACACTGGTACACTGCGTTCAACGAGACGTATCATAATTAATCGATCCGACGAACAGTTCTCTTCGAGCTGAGCCTCGATCTCGAGGGCCAAGGGGAGCCAAGGGGAATCGGTCGACTCGGCCAGTAACAAGAAATTGAGCCTCCCCTTGACCCCTACCTGCCTACCATTTCCCATCAAATCGTACCCACCGTAGAATTTTCTGCGTTTACTTTCGCATTGTCTTCGAAATTCACTGCCTCGCGCGTCACGCTCACCGATGGATCACCTGATTGATGCGACACCTGATCGAACGTTTCTCCATCCGAGTGTATGGAACGCCGAGACATATTGGGCATTGCTAATATACCCGGTGCGATTTCGTAACGGCACTGAGATTTTTCAGAATACGTATAATCTGTCTTTGGAAACACACTGAAACATATTTCAAATATCACGCGTCGTATTACGCTTGACAAAATACTCGCTGATAGAGACACGTGTATACAAGGTGATTCATAAGCGCATTGATACGATACCTCGGGAGGTACATCTACACGCCGAAGTAAGTGAATTTTTCACTTGTTTTCGCATGTATATTTATACGCATGTTTACCCGTTCAAGTATTTACGAATCATCCTGTATAACGTTATAATACTTAAATCGCATACTTCCACCAATCACCGGCTTGCTTATAAATTTCGTGCGCTGTGCTCGGTCTGTTGGTTACATCCTCTTTTTCTCCTTCCTCTGAAGAGTAATCGCTAGTTATCGTCCTATGCGCAGAAATATTTTTATCTTCTATCTCGTACTTTCCATAGAACGAGTCATCCTTTTTCTCATTCTGACCATTTTCGAGTATTTCTCTTTTTGCTTTTTGTCGTTCCGATCGTCTCTCTGCTTTTTTAATACCCGTAGATGAATTTTCTTGCCTCTTGTTATGGTTTTCGGACAAAGTATCCAAAGGCACCACTCCTTTCCTTTCCATTATCGTTTCCATACTTTGATCGTGCAGCTTGCCGCCGGTACCGGATCTGGTGGTAACGTTCAAATTTCAATCCAGTTGAGAAAATACATCTATGGATAATCGATAAGAATATCGTGAATATAACTTGAACTTACAACATTCTGTATGCAGACTTTTTACTGCTTATAATTTCTCCAGGCGTGCCGGATCTCTCTCTACTACGATTTCTTAAATCATAATGATGTTCTGCGATCTCTGCTTCTATTAAGGCATGGGCCTGAACCGAAGGAGTTTGAGAACGAGATCTGCTTCCGCTTCGTAATTCATAATATCGTTGTTCGCTCTCCATAACACTATGGAAGAAAAGTATTAAAGCGTGTACGTGTTACTTTGAAAGAATGAATATACACTGATATGGAAACGGTAGCCACTGGAGCTCTTAGAAACTGTAATTCTTTATTGCATGCCTGCTGTCAGCTAAAAATACTTGTAATCCCTCCCATCTGAAAGATATCTGTACAAAGTCCTTTCCTGTTGGTTTCTATTTCAGGCATGCTTTTTCTTTCCGTCCCTTTCACTCCCATTGACTTGAATTTTTTTCGAATAAACCCCCCATAACGCGGCACCTTGAGATCGAACGCGCCGCATAGCATAGACAGATATGCTACGACGCAGAAATGCGATGATACGAACAGTTACCTTACGCGAAGTTAGTTTAATTGTTCTTTTCGTGCAAAAGACGCGCATACAGACGAACCGATTTCGTTCGCATTGCAAGATAACCGCACGGCACGTCGAGAACACGTAAGGCTAGTATTCATTCGCATACCGTGTGAATATCTTGATCACGGTGTAGGTACACGATTCACTGGTAAGCGTGCAACACTCGCCGAAAACTGTATTAACACTACAATTATATCGTAATCACGGATCTTACAAATGGGTTGATCTTATACTGCAATTCTATTTCGTCATTCATTTTCCCGAAAAGTCTTCTATTTATAGAGAACTCACCAACACTATACGACAGTAATTCCCGATTCTTCATAAATGATTCGATGAGCCGTGCTTTCAAACAGACGATACAGATAATGTTCGACGCGCAACGTAAATCGTGCTAAATAATCTTTTTCGCTGTTGCTTCAAATTGTTTGTCAACATTTATATACTTGGCTGAAAGTAGATCAACAAGACGGTTCGACGAGTAGGAAGAAAACGATGGACAGAAGTGCTTACTACTAAGTATATAGCTTGCGCACGCACAGCACGATGATTCATCCAACAGTGCTCTTACTCACAGTCAGTAGCAGCTCTGGCCATAAGTTTGCCACAGTTCGCCAACCAACTCTTGTCATAGTCGAGCCGATAGGTTTCCGAGCTCGATGCATTTGAAGTTAATGTTACACGATGCTTACTAACGATGATCCTCCGTCGGTCGCGCATCGTCCCCGTCGTCGTGTACGGTCACGCGTATTTGCGACGACATCTACGGTAAAAGGTCCAACAAATACGTAGCACGTACTCGGATTTTCTGTCTAGGGCGAACAAGATCTCCGGGACTCTGGTACCATTTCGATATAGTGGCCAAAGTTACCGATACGTCGTTCGCGTCGTAGGCAACGTCGAAAGACTTCCACGTGTCACGTTCAACGGAAATTTCAGCGCGCGGTATGCAAAGTGTGTAGGTACTTACGCACAAGTAGCTCCTGTCGAATCCATTTTCGTTTCGTGTTACATCCAATGGAATTAATACAGGGTGTAAAGTAACATGGAATCAAAATTCGGGCGGATGTTGCGCGCAACGGAAATGTGTTTCTCCATGCCACGGAATAATCTTACGACCGTCGAACAATTTCATTGCAGCGATCGACATTGCTCATCGCTCGCGAGTTTAGGCTTGTTAGCAAGCGTTCTATCGAACGCTTTTTCAAATATCAAATACTCGGGAAACAATGTTTACAAAGGCAAAGCTGCCACTGCCATCTAACGTTGCAACGTGGAAGCTACGATACGTGCTACGGTGGGTCTCGCCCGATACGTGGAATCCCGTAGTTACCGCGTTCGACGTGCTTCTCAAACATCAAGCGTCCACAGGTGTGCGATACGCAAGGTATCGGCGTTTGGCCGACTATTAGCGACAAATCTTCAAATGACAGTTTAAATGACACTCGGCCTCGGTTATGCGTGGCGCACGAGGAAAAGTTAGTTGCAACGGTTCGCCGCTAGATGGCGAGACCATTCACTTTTTCGGTATATGTAGCTTTATATCCCAATTGGAGTTTCCGCGAATCGCCGCTAGATGGCAATACCGTTTGTGCGCCTGTAAAGGAATTTTTGAAAAATAGCGTCGTTGGTTTCCCGTGTTTCTACGATCATCATAATCTTTAATCGGTGTAACAGGTTTGCAGTGTCGTTCTGGAACTAGGCGATCGGTTCGTCCGGATCGAAACCCTTTTTCGGCCGATGAGAGAGACGACATTGCTGGATATATTCAGGTTCCGCGGTAAGATACTGCAACGTAAAAGGTCAGACGTAAAATCTTTCGGAAAGCTTGGCGTTCGCGGGAAGATTTGTAGCGATAGACCGCCTATGGCATCGTCGCTATATTACCATCGAGATTCGTAAGCAAGAAATTCTCGTTTATCCCGAGCGGATTATTAGGTTCCGATACTATCGGAGCGAGCCATCTAACGCAACTTGCGAATACTACTCGCTACTTAATTCGATAGTGACGCCGTGAAATAAGTTGAGACGTGACTTGAACTTTCAGGCGACGAACGAAAGACACCGTGGAGTGAAATGTGTAAGATTGCGAGCCACATGACGATCATAGACTGGCAACAGACTGTGTACGTACATATAAGCGAGATTAGATCGTACAAAGCAAAGAGTGTCGTGATTACATGCTGGAAATAATATCACCGATGCGGATATTTGTGTGTGGTGTAGGAAAGGGGTGCGACAACAGTTAATCTGCAAGAAAAGTCAGTGATATTACGTTTGACAGATTGATGCAGTGTGAATTATTGCGAGGCTCGCCGGGACTGACCGTTAGTATATGAGTCTGGAAGGAACCAGAGGCTTGAAAGGGTCTGTGGTCTGCAGGCTACGAGCTGCTGACTGTAGGAAACAAGCACTGCTACGGATCACCTAGTCCGCCAAACAAAACATGGACGCCGTAGAGATAAATACGACTGATTCAGCGCAAAATGAGGAAGATAGCATTGTATCCGCGGTGGAGATATGTCGCGTTTGTCTCCTTGGTAATCTCGTGATGCGAGATTTGTTTCTAGAAAACGAGGTTTCTTCTCTGTCAACAAAAGCGATGAGCTTTGCAAACGTTAAGGTTAGACTTGCCATTTAGAGGTTACATTTAATAGAAAAAAATAGTGAAATGTCTTTACTTACGAAACTTTCTATAGAAATCGAATGCGCAGTTCGAGCCTTACCTAATTAGAAAAGTGAAATAACCTTTCACGAATAGCGTATCCTAGATTTTATTGTCAATCCTCTCGTCTTTCGTACCTCTACTTTTTTATTCTGCCAAACTTTTCTTTACCAGTATGTTATCGTAGCACGACTAATGACCGAAAAATACATTTACAGTGTTCTTCGATTGTTTTAGATGTTACCCGGCGACGGCTTACCGACACGCGTATGTTGCATATGCGCGGATAAACTTGAATCTGCGTACGAATTTAAATTACAGGTGGAACAAGCCGATACGGTTCTAAGGGAAAGATTCGTTACCATGAATATGAAAGAAGAATTGTTCTTCAACGAGGTCGAAGTACATCTAGAGGCGGGAGATAGAAGCGAAGACATAGAGCAGATGCATATAGAAAATCACTATGAAAGTACCGTAGAAACATTGGATACGATGTCCGGAGAAGAAAAGTCTTCCCTTTTGAAGGATCAATTGGCTTTGTTGCAAGTAGAAAAACTAGCAGAGCAGGAGCAGGCGATAACCGGTAAATGAACAGGAAACATTTCTTTCGAGATTGAAAGTTGAGTTTCAAGCGTTGTTAAAACTCTTTTTGCGTTTAGAACAGCACGGTGGTTCGGTAACGGATGAAGTAATCGCGCCGGATCAAATGCTAGACGAATGTTCGAACCGAGAGGAAGATGGGGAGGAAGAGGAAGAGGGAGAAGAAGAAGAGGAAGAGGAGGAGGAAGAAGAGGAAGACGAAGAGGAAGACGAGGAGGAAGAAGAGGGAGAGGGCGAGGGAGAAGAAGAGGAAGACGAAGAAGACGAAGAGGGTGGCAAAGCCGTCAACGATATAGATAACGAAAAGATTTTGAAACACGAAACCCCCGAAAATTGTATCGAGAGTATTTCGACGGTAGAGCACGACTATATTTTGCAACAAGAATGTATATTGGCAAATGACGGTCAACGAAAAGAAGAAGAACGCGAAGAACAGCATCAGTTGATGTCCGAAGAATCGTTTTCGCGCGAAGATTGTGTTCAATATGTAAATTTGTTGGTGAAAGCGGCTGACGTGACCCATCGAGGGAACGAAGATGAAAGTGAAATAGGGAAACGAGAGAGTCTGAAAGCGGATATCAAGGTAGAGGAAGATTCCAAGTGTCAAAGCGACACGAGGAGAAGCAAACGCAAGCTGATTCGACGGAATACCGATCCGATACGAGATTCCGACGAGGAGAATTATTTTGAAAATCTCAATTTGAGTTCGCGGCTCAAGAAAGCTGAAGACTCGGATAAAACGGAAAAAATCTTTTTCATGTGCTACCTTTGCGACAAAGAATTTCTCTCGAAGAACGTTTTACGGGAGCATATGCATTCTCACGAGGAAGTGAGAAAAGCCTTGTCCTTGAAGAAAACTGTCGAGAAATCCGAGAAAGATACTTGCAGTCCCACAAAGTTGCCTCCATCCGGTAAAAGATCGAATAAATGTCCTTACTGCGGTAAACAATACATATACATCATTTCGTTCAGTAAACACTTGAAGAAGCACGAGAAAGAAAAAGAAGAAGCCAAGGAGGAACCGATGCCGTTGGAAATTTCGTTTCACGAAGACGAGCATAGTTTGGATCTCGAGGATTACGCGGACAAAGATCATTCGAATGCCGAGTACCGAAAAAGAGTCAGAAGAAGAGAAGGCGCGGTTACGGCAAAATCGGAGAAAGGGGAAGGAACGGGAGAAGAAATGACAGACGGGGAGGCCGAACAGGATGGAGAGGGGCTAGGGGGGAACAGGACAGGGGAAAGAGAGAAAGGAAAAGAGAAAGAATCGAGCGGCGGCAGCGATAAAGAACGAAATGGAAATAATTTGAATGAAACCGACGAACGAATGAAACGCGAAGCGCGCACCGAATCGTTCGCCTGCGACAAGTGTCTGGAAGAATTCTCTACTAGACGCGGTTTACGAAAACACACGTTTTCCCACAGCACTCTCAGATGTAGCGTATGCGAAGAGGAGTTTGATTCGTTGGAGAAGCTGAGAAACCATCGGGCGAAACATGTCGTCGAAGGTGTACTGTCCGAACAAGACTTGGAAACAGGCAGTGTGTTTTCAGTCGACAGAGACGTGGACGGTTACGATGTCGAGGATAAACACAGAGAGGCAGAAGGAATCGGCGATGCGGAAAGGCGCAAGGAGAAGGAGGAAGAACGAGGACAAAGGGAACGTCAGACACAATTGTCAGTGGTAGAAAATGGATCGAAGAAGATGAGGTAAGTGTAAATGTACTATCTTACTATAGTATATTCGTAACATCTATTATCATATTGAGCACATGCACACGCACACGCACACGATCACGATCACGATCACGATCACGATCACGATCACGATACGTTTATAATGTTGTCACAGAACTGCTTCGGAATCGACTTAACGTACTCACTGCATGTTGTTTTATTTAGAAACATGGAGACGCATTCGATGGTTGAGATCACTTGTAAGATATGTTATCAGCGATTCGCAAGAATGGATTTATTGCAGAAGCATATGGAGCAGCACGAACGAATTAAAAACTACAAGTGTACAGAGTGCAATAAAACATTCGGCAACGAACTCACTTTACGAAATCATCTCATAGCTACGAATCACAAGACGTTCATTCACGGACAAGAGTACGACCCTAACAAACGGATCAAACGAGTAGCCGCGAAGGCTGCGCAGAAAATTATCGATAAGATCAAGACGGAAGATGGTTTGGAAGATTACGAGGACGAGGAAGAACAGGACGAGAAAGTGATCGAGCGGAATCCCACGGATGGAAGTTACGGGCGAAACAAGCGAGATATCTCTTCTCAGAAGAAACACAATTGCAAGAAGGAGTTGGAATGCGCGAGTTGCAATAAAAAGTGCAGCTCGAAACAGTCATTGACGAAACACATGGAGCAGCACGTGAAAGACGAGAAAACAAGCAAGTCGGAGAAGCACAGGCAGCTCGGGGAGAAGAGGGAACGGCAGAGGAGTTGCGCGGCGAACGAAGGAATCGAGTCGAGCGAAGGCAATAAAGACGACGATTACGATTCCGATTTTGAAAGCGGTCTGGATTGGCCGATGGACAATCACGAGTGTGCAAAGTGCAAGAAACGGTATAGCACGAAAAAGTCGCTGCTGCGGCATCAGCTGTTGCACGAGGAACCGAATTTCGAGTGCGACATTTGCAACGTGAAATTCTATCGTAAGGACAAACTGAAAGCTCACTACGACAAATGTTCTGAGAAGAATCCTGACCAGGTGAGAAAGTGTAACATCTGCGGGGACAGTTTCGAGAACAACGAAATACTGCGGGAGCACAGGTCCAAACATGTGACCGAAGGGATTCTCACGGAAGAGGATTTGAGGGACATCGAACCGAGGCCGGAAGAGAAGAAGCCGGGAGAGAAAATCGGCAGGAAGAGAAGGACCGATATAGTCGGCTTAGAGTGTACCGAGTGCAACAAACAGTACACTTCCAGGAAAGGACTGTTGCGTCACATTCAGGTTCACGAGGGGAAGAAGTACCTTTGCGACATATGTCCGAAGAAATTCTACAGAAGGGAACATTTGAAGATACACGTGGCTAAGCACAACATGATTAAGCCGTACAAGTGTACGCGCTGCACGAAACGTTTCATCAAGGAAGAACAATTGACCAATCATTTGTCGAAGCATGACCGGACCTTTAAGAAGAACAAAGAAACCGACAGTTCCAAGAGATTCCTCTGCGAGATTTGCTCGAAAAGCTTCACTCAGTCGACTACGTTGATTGCCCACCTTCGGGCTCACAACGGCATTAAACCGTACGTGTGCGAGGTTTGCTCCCGACCCTTCACGACCAACGCTTACCTAAAAATGCACATGAGAACGCATACCCAAGAGCGGCCGTACATTTGTCAATACTGTTCGCGTGCATTCGCCAGAGCCGACACGCTTGCCAATCACTTGACATCGCACACCGGCGAGGCAAAGTATCACTGCAAGTATTGTCCGAAGAATTTCCGTCGTTTGAAATCCCTCAAGGAGCACGTGTTCATTCACACCGGACAGAGACCGTACGCTTGCCCAACCTGTGATCGCCGGTTCAATAATAATGGAAGTCGATATGCCCATAGCAAGAGGTGCAAACAAAATTTTGTTCAGAATCAAAACCGTGGCCAGACGTTGACGCAAGTTCAGTCCGCTCAGAATCAGCAGAGGATATTGCATCAGCAGACGGCTCTTGGACAGACTCAATTATTGAAAACGCAGAACATTAAAACTATTACAATTACTAGACAACCGGAACCAGTTGCTGCTCAACAAGTCACGCAGCACCAAGAAATAATAATGCCCCTAATCTTCCCTCTAACCGTAACGGTAGCCGATATCAGCGAAGAAGTTATATTGCCGGAGGGAACCAAGTTGTTTACGACCACTTAAATTGTAAACTTTATTCAGTGCGTTTGCAAATGACTCTCGTCCATCTTTGTCCGGTCCAGCTAAAGCCTGGCGTGTCGGTCAACCGATCGACTCTCTTCT